ATTCTCTTGGATTTGTCCTCCAGTAAATGAGAAAGAGAAAAATTTCACCCTGCACCTTATCCAGTGATATGATCTCATTTGTACCTTTTCAAATAAACTGTTTTGGTCAGCTGTTTCACCATTGAACATTATTTGCTCCATTCCTGCATAGCCATAACGAACACACAACAGCAAACCAAATTACATCACACCCTTGCCTTTCACTTGCTCTCCTTCCAAACAAAGAATGTTGCTGAAACACCTCACTACAATTATTACTCATCACATAATCGCTATTTCCCCAATTTACTACCAGATGGATAGCGTCCTCCACACCCACCCCACATGTACAGCACAGAATTTCATCACCTCCTCGGATAATATTTCTATTTCTCGGATTAATTTTGATTTATCAAGTTATTGTATCTTGTATGGGTGTTTGCTCTTATGTTTTTCATTTTCTTATTCTTCTAGGGTATTTTCATTGCTGATCTTCTTTGATAGCTTTGGTTTTTGCAGAAGCAATTTGCAAAGGGCACCAGATATGTGAAAACGATATGATGTTGATGCTTCAGAAGTGATAAGCTTCAAGGATGATGTTCATGATTATATATTCTCTTTGCAAGTATATTTCGTCAAAGGTCAGGTTCGTCCTTGCCGAGTTCCCAAAGCCATTTGTAGAGTATCTAAACCGCTTGGTCTACTTCCTAAATTATATATCGTCTGGGGATAATTTTGGATTGATATACATTAATGTTAATACTTTCATTAAGTTGGTTGGTTTGGCATGCATTCAGGCTTGCCTGAACATCAATTCTGTAGGTCTAGCCATCCTTCTTTAGGTGAATGAACTCCTGGTCAATGCATTGTTTATTTTTATGAGGTGGTGCGTGAGCAACCATGTCCAAATGGGAGGACCAAGTTTTGCACCTCATTTTGCACAATGCATTTCGTGAGAGTGCTTGCTGCTAGGCATCTACAGGAGATGGGAGGGGAGAGATACTCTCTTGCTTTATAGTCTCTACTGAACGTCAACTCTTTAAGATACTCCGGGACCTCTTAATTAACATTTCTGTTTCGCATTAAAAATCAAATAACCTAAACAGTTCAGTGATAATTTTTTTTCACTGGAAGTAAAAAGTTCTAAATTTAAATCGTATAGCATGCAGGTGAGATGAAATAAAAAATGGAAGAAGATTGCCTCTTGTTGTACAATCAACATAAAAAAAAAAAACAAATTAAAAAAATCTTTAAAAAAATTGTAAAATATATAAAAAATACCCAACACGAGATGGGAGTCAGCACCAACTTGATGGGTGTCAACATCACCTTGGCAGGTGTCGGGTGAAATTCGAAGTAATTGGGGTGTTGATACCTTAAGTAATTTTCAGCAATTTCATAAAGTTTCTATTTTTAATAGAGGTCTTCCTTCTTTTTTAGTAGGGTTTTTTTAATCTCTATAAATTCTTATTTAAGTTCAGATTTTAAAAACGTTAAACAAACTCACTTAGCTTTTTGGCCCTAATAATATTAGTCACATTGAATATGTACATTTCTCCCATGAGCAGGTTCAATCTCGTCTCATATTAAATTGTTCAAAAAAAAAAAAGAAGAATTGAACAAACATTCTATTGATTTCTCATTCAAGAACTGACAGCGAAGTTAAGTTGCACAAAAGAACCAGCAGCTATCTCGTAGTAGATGAGAAGAAGTAGCCACAGGAGAAGAAGTCATATAGATATAGTGGTTGAAAGAAAAATTGTTACATTATTTTCTTAGCGGGCATATGTATAATGAACTGATGCATAATTAGCCGTGAGTGGTCCATATATATACTTGCTGTTTTACCTGTGCATACTTCTCTCCTTCATGGCTTTTCTCAAACTAATGCATCTATCATTTTCATTATGTATTTCTTTCTTGGAACTCTCTGTACGGCTGCTTTCAAAGGATGTTTCGGTGTGTTTTTCACGAGGGCTATGCAGAATGGGTCCAAAAATCCCCAGAACTGCAATAGGTTTTTCTTTTCTTTCCTTTTTTTTTTT